AGATTATTTACATTTGCTGTTTAGAATTTCAGTTTATATACTAATTGCTAAGTATTTTACAGTAACTGAATTTCACTATCATAGAAAGTTTGAAACATACTATTAATCATGTATCATTGAATGCCACTGTCTATAGGCAATTTTATTTTCAGTGTTAGCTGGAAAAAAGTCTTACCTGGAATTCTTCACAGCAGTATCTGTATCTACCAAAATCAATCTAGAATCCAGAGATTCTGCCCTCAGATTTAAATTTAAAGCCACTCTTCAGGCTGATGTTCTATAGCAGCTTAAGATGTGCCAACCCAGGAGGACATGGAGACAATATGCTCTTCGGAATTTTTCAGTATTTCCTCATATTCTATCTGAGGTGTTTTGTCTTCTAAGATAGTGTAATCATGCATAAACTCATATTCAAGACAAATACTTGCTGTGGATTAATTACTATTTTGAATTATCCCCAAACAAGGTTATATACTGAGCTGAAGGCAGTGTAATGCCTTTCAAAAGACCATTTCTGTTATGTATCACCAGTGGAATAACATAATACAATATTTGAATACCAATCCAAATAGTTTAAAGCTTTCAAAAAACACATATGAAGGATATAGTCACTAGGCTTTCACATCGGATATCTATTTTAAGTTTATAACTCAATATATGAGAATTTGAAATAAAATGCTGAAATGTAAGATTTTTAAAAAATTAGGCATTTTTTAAAAAACTAATTTCTAGAATTTCCTTTAGGTTTTCTTCTAATGTTACTGACTAGTGTGTCACTAGTACATTAAAGCTCTAATGTTTTAGTTTAAATGGCAAAAATTAGTTATCAAAAAATCATACTATCAGACTACACAGAAAAACTCAAAGCTAAGTGCAAAACTATACATCAAGTTTGTATCTTGAAGCAATTACTAAAATTTCTGGTAAAATTATCCATCTTCTACAGTTCCGGGGGTCATAACTATTGTACAAACCAAACACATCTGCTATAAATGTCACCATCATCAGTAGTGACAGAAACTTTTATTAATAATTAATGAATAGATATGTCTTTCAAGAGTGAGCTTTCATTCTTCACAAAAGGAATGAGTTCAACTTAAGTTTCTGTTTGAAAACGTAGTTTGGATATCTTTGTAACACAACAGAGATAGGTAACACAAACAAACTTTTTTTTGTGTATTTTTTTATTGTTTGGAACACCAAAGTAACCCAAACTTGACATTTACAATGAACTTTTTAATAAAAATATGCTGTACATCATATTAGCAATACATATGATACAAGTTTTTGAAAAGGTAAACAGATGCTTATACAATTCAAGAGAATGAACTGAATTGCTATCATCTTTAATGTTCTCTCTCTCTTAGATGATCAACAACTGTAGGACGTTATCTTCAGCTTGTATGAAAACCACTGTTCTAGCTACTTTGGCCCACGAAGTACTAAGCACAGATTTCTTTAAAATCAAGTAGCAATAAATCATTTCTCGTATGTCTAGTGACTTCATGTTTTCAGATGATCAGTAATACAAAATGATCAAAATCTCTGTAAGATGTCAGTTTAATTCTTTCCAAATTCAGTAGTGGGGGCTACCACAGCCCAACTCCAGAAAGAGGAGTAACTCCTAAACACATATTCATGTTTAAATTTCATAATGTAGAATTCTTTAAAACAAACTATCCTTATGGCACCTCACTGTGCTTTGGTATTCTCTGGCCTCCTTACAGAATTTCAAGAGATGTGCTAAACATTTGTTTAGCCTCTGCTACTTTAGAAATATATATTTCAAAAATTACGACCTAAGAATTAAGTAACAATAATTCATTTTATTGTTACAAGAAAACCATTAAATATTATTATTGCAACAATTTCGATTTTGAGTCCTGCTACTTCAATGAAATACCCATTATGACTTAACACCTTTTCTCGGATGATGGAACTTAAATATTTCATTAATTTATGATTTGGTCTATTCTACTGTGAAAATATCTGAGGCAACTATGTCAAGTTACATTGTTTCCTAAAAATTGTTTGTCTGTCAATAAAAGTGTAACATGAATTATAGCTAAAATAACACAATTTTAGAAATGGAAAGTATCTCCAGGTGTTATAAGTATCTCATCTATGACATTTATAATAAGGACTTTGATTAAAGGCTCATCATGTGTTTTATATGTGTTAGCCCACTGAATCATGATACCCTAGTCCATGTACTTTTTATTCCTCTTTACAGACGAGGAAATGGGCTCAGTGCAAACTTCTGATCTTACAGTTTCTTGTTCAGTGTAACACTTTCTTTTAAATTAACTTAGAAAACAGCAGAGCACCAAGAGGAAACCAGAAGCTCCTTAAGCCCCAGCACTCTCAACACCTGAAACCTGAACACCAGAAATATCCCACTGAATCACTGATCCTTTAGTATTGCAATGTGACTATTGTATTCCTTCATCAAAAAGATGGAATTATGGTTCGTCTTTTTCAAAGCATCTTCCTTTATTTACACATATATTAAAAAAATCTCTTCAAAAAGGCAGCTCTGAGCAAGCCAAGTAGATACCCAAAGCAAAGTTCACCCTCCCAAGTTGGAAAAAAATAATGTCATGGACAGGAAGTTATTCCTGAAATCAAAAGGCAGTAGACATATTCAAGGGATATTGTGGGAATGTGATATCTGATTCTTGTTGACAGATGACATGTAAAGATAGTCAGCTGGGGCAGGAGAACATACTGGATTGGTGGTAATATGAGGAAATAGCATTGCCAGGTCAAAAGCCCTGAGATGAGTAAATATAATGGTTTTCAAGTGGAGAAATCCATGAGCCCTTTTTTCTGAAGGGCTTGTTTTATTACAATGTAAAACTTGGTCAGTATATTAAACTTTCTGTTACATAAACTTTGTAATTATTTTTACTGTTTTAAAATATCAAATTATCATTATTTTTTTCCTCAAAACTGAAGGCACATAGAAGACTTTCTCATACCTGGAAGTAAACTACTTTGTTTAGTTATAATACTTAAGTAAAAGTTTCCTTTTTTATCTTATATCAAATTTTACACCTTTTGGGATTTAAAATTTTTGTTTTAAAATCTATAGACAAAAGTAGTTATCAGACATAAGTATTAACAGCTCTGCACTGAAAATCGCCCATCTATGTTATCGCCTTATTCATGGAACATATGTGCCTGCTGCACACTGTACAAGCCAGGCAGGGAAGATGGGATGCTCAGCCATCCATGTCAGATAACTAGAATTGGGAATAAAGACTTGGAGTGTACATTCTTCTAGCACTGCTCAGCTTACTGAGGTTATTTCTCAAGCTTACCAACTTTTGATCTGTGGTTTCATTGCATTTCATACATGAATCCAAAGGTTCAGTAGGGATAAGAATAAAGGACAGAGTTTTTAAGATCTGATGTTAAATCAAAGGCAGGTACTTACTTTTCAGGATAGTCTAAAAGCAGTGGTCTGCTTTTAAACTTGGAAATCATGAAATCTTTCCACTCATTTAATGAATTTACTGAGCCCAGAGAAAAGCACAAATGCATAGTTTTGTAAACAGTCTCAAAAGGCCTAATATCCATGGATTCTAGACAAGGAGATTTGATTTCAAAATGAGTTCATAATGAGGGTGGGGGCAGAGGTGGAGGAAGAGGTTGATCAGAAAATTCTGGTTCAGAATCTATCATTCTTTTACAATCACCTTATCACAAATATGCACAAAAGCATACAAACTGAGATTGAAAGATATATAGTTTCCTTGTCCAATGTTGCTTCTACTGTACGATTTTCATTAGGCTTCTTAAGCAACCTCCTTCATTAAACGAATTTCCTATTATTATAACTATTGCTACATTACCAGCAAATTTTAGCCCCAAATCCTCTTTTGTCATGTCTTGTTTGTGTACCAAGAAAAACTTATGGGCCTATGCTCAGTCCTGGAGAGGGTGGAATGCAGCATGCCATTTAAAAACAAACTGATTTTTATCAAAAATGGGATACATGCATGAAATAAAATATTCAGCATAACTGAAAAATACAGAGCAAAAAATATAGGGGCTTATCACAAACTCATGTCTCACAGTCTTACATATCAGAGATAATCAGTAGTTTCTTTCCTAAAACTATCTAAGGTTATGAAAACAAATGTGTACATATACATACACCTCTGAAAATACTGACAGAACTAGAATGTTGTAATGCTCTCAAAGTACTAACTTCCAGTCAGGAGAGTTAATATACCTAGCAATACCATTTCGAACATAATAATTTATTGATTTAAATGGTTGTCTACTATAACACACGTGATTCATTTATAGTCTAAATAAGCCAGAGTGAATCCTTTTAGAGATGAGTAAACAAAAGCAAGTCACCTCCCCTTGAACACAATATTATGGTTATGGGTAGACTATAGCAGGTAAACTCTAGCAGGGGAAAACTGAGGGGTAGGGAAAAATAGTTTCTTAGTCCATCCAACTGTCATTTAAAGAGCTAAGCCATTTTAGTGCACTGTATCAAACCTGATTTTTTTCTTTTTGCCAGCCTACAAAAAAATGCTACCAAAGTCCAGGGGGTTCAGATGCCTTAAAACTGGTCCACACAGAGAAAGAAATGTAGTATCACAGAAATGTTTGTTCTAGAGCTGCAAGAGTCTGTGGTCATGTTAATCATGGACTGGGTACCAATTCCTTTGCATAAAGACTGGGGAGCAATGCTGGGAACTGAATGCAGGATATCACACGTGCTAGGCCAGTCCTCTACCAATGAGCCTTAGTCATTAATAACATTTTTACACTAAGTTAAAATTTGCATATCAAACTTTTATCCAAGACAAACATGCAGGATTTCACCTTTGAAGCTATCTCCCAGCAAGTGCTAACATTTAACAGGAAGATCTCCCTCAAAAGAAAACTAGCCTTGAAAATTATTTTATCAAAATTCACATTTTTAAAAAACCTAGCTGGAGGGGAGAAAAAAACTAGTGATAAAAATATTAACTTACCAAGAAGTGAAACAGGCTGGGTTACAGGAGGGGTAGGCAGATTCGTAGGTGCAGCAGGTGGCACAGCAGAGCCATACATTTTCGCACTGTCACCAGACTCGGCATTTCCTCTAGCCCCAGACACCACTGTTGGAATGGGATTTCCAATAGATAAGTCTTTTGTAGTGTCTTCATTTATACCAGCGATAGTAGCTAAGGAATATAATTACATCAACATGTGAAGCTGAATAATTAATTATCTTCCCGGTCAACATCTTTCCACCACATTACAGACCCTATTACTGGTTCTTGCTCCTTCCTAACCCCAACTCCAAGAGGTCAAGTGAACAGGCAGGAAAAGTATGCTTACAGTTTGGGATGCTTATTGGTGGAGTGTGAGGAGGAGGAATGGATACTGGTGGAGTTATAGGAGGTGGGGGTCCAGGAGGAAGAAATCCTAGAATGAGAAAAGTGATGTCAATGTATGCTGTTATCACTTCATTTTACGTTCTAAAAGAATGTTTTCTCAAACAACTCTGTGTACCTGGTGGTAAATGCATTGGATTGAATCCTGGGCGCAAAAACGGTGGAGGGGGAGGAGGAGGAGGAACACCAGGCCCAAAGCCTGGGGGAGGAATTCCCAAGGGAGGTGTGAAAGCAGGTGGCTGGAGGGCACCAACTACAGGAGGTCCTGGCTGATGTGGTGGGACCTAGAAAAAGAAGAAAGAAATCACATATCTGTCTCCCACATGGTGTACATGATGAATATTACACTGTTGGAACCCCCCCAAAAAAAACAAAAAAAATAAACCAGATACTAAATTTGTGTTTATTACACCCCAGTAAGTTAACTAGATGTAACCTATTCTGTGACTGTCTTTATAAGGTGTGATCTAAGCTAGAGAATATTGCTGTAAAGTATCATCCAACAGAAAGGCAGGCTTGTACAACTATGATGATGCCTTCATCCACCTTATTTACTGGATCTGCACTGTGTAACTTCTGGCTTTTCCTCTAAGGCAAAATGACCATGAAAGGTATTTAGGACACTGAAGCAGCCATGACAACTCAACTAAAGACATTCACAAAAGGGGATTTCCAGAACTGCTTCAGAAAGTGGCAAGAATGTTGAGATGAAGTATTTTGAGGGAGAAATTAAAAGTGATGTTTCTATTACTGTAATAAATTTTTAAAATTTAAACATTCATTGTATTTTCCCAATTCCTTTTGTACTTTATCTCATTTAACCCTCAAAACATATCTGATACAGGCAAAACACCACAGCCAAAACTAGGAAAAGGACTGCATAGTTAAGGCATTAAAAAAATGAAAGCCGAGAGGTTAGATGACTTGCACAAAGCATGTGCTGGGTATCAGCAATTAGGAATCAAATTCAGTTCTATCAGAATCTGGGTTCTTTTGAAGTAGCAGGTTGGCTGACTTGCTAGCAAAGACCTACATGGTAAGTGTATTGTATACATGGTCATGCTTCATGAATTCACTTTATTAAGACAACTTTTAATGCTCTAAGATAAAAAGTCATGTGACACTAACATTTGAACTGAATATTAAGAAATTCCCTTTTCTTCAAATGGCTGTCTGGTGGGTATATATCTAAGATGCTTCAGAGAAAAAAGAACCTGAAGAATGAAGGTCTAATAAACAAAAGAGTATGTCTAGGACGTAATAAGATTAAGACACTGAATAAACTAGATAGATGTAAAGCAGTGCAAACTTAATTTTAGTTTTATTAACATTTATAAAAATATGTACGCTTATGTTATTTTTTACTATGAAGAGAGACCTGAAGATTTAAGAAGAATTAAAAATTTAAACAATGTCTCAACATTCTTACCTGTGGAGGTGGCACTGTTATAGGTGCAGGAACAGGAATAGGCGGGACAGGCACAGGTAAAGGTTTAGGTATGGGTGATACTGGTTCTGTGTGTGAGGGTTCTGCACCGCCATTTTGAGCAACATCATTTTCAGGTTTCTTGGGAATTCCTTTCCAATCTACAAGATTCATATAAATATTAATAAAAATTTACCATTTTCAGCTTACAACTTTAAATCTACAAATAAAAAGGGCTGATTACTAAAAAAGCTGTCAGCCTGATTATATAAATTCCTGTTAATTTTATAAGTACTAATTATTTGAATTGATGAATTCATAGAGATAAAAAGAAAACATGTAAGAAATGCTTACTACTTATGGCAGGCACGATCCTAAGCTCTTCTGGCCCACTACTTTCTTAATTCTTATAACCACTCATAGATACTATTATTGTCATTTTACAAACAGGAAAGCAAAGACAACTCCTCAAAAGGCACATACCTAGTAAGTGACAAAGATGGACTTCATTCATAGAAATCCAGTTCTGGATTGTATGTTCTTATAACCACAGAAGTACTAAATCAACTTGTGTCCAATATTGAAGAATAACTCGGTTATCTTTCAAAATACTTCCACGTATCTTCTAGTTAAGCAAAACTAGCAAACGCTTTTTCCTTTGAGGTCCTGTTTGGTCAGAGTCTCTTATATTCAGCAAATACTTCACTAGATCAGAAATCCCAAGATTCCTTGTTCCTTTTATCCTGGTCCAGACCTTCCCAGATGCCTGGTACATAGCAGGTCTGTTTGCCTGAACAGAAACTCAGCTCAGTCCTTTGGGTGGTGCATCATGCACTTGGAAGGAGCTAAGTGTGGCCTGTCTCACCTCCTTTTTGTGCTCAAGCTATCACTCCCACGTGAAGACCACTCTGGTATTTACTGTTTTTACCATTCCACTCATGCCCCTCATTCCTGCCTCTGGGTCCTATCTGTACACTGTCATGGTGCCTATTGTAATCATTCTGGCACTTGTAATATTCATATAAATAACAACTTCCTGGTCATAACACATTTTTTTGACTGTCTGGACATTCCCAAAAAATTATGAGCGCTGGATTATAACACAATACAGGTTAAGAATGCCTTATCCAAACACTTGGACAGGAAATTTTTTATACAGAACCGGGTATTGAACTCAAGACCCTTGAGCTTGCCAGGGAAGCACTTATCCTACTGAGCCTTCTCCCCAGTCCTGTTTTAGATTTTAGAGTATCTGCATAAACTTTACCAGTGGAACATCCTTACTCCAAAAACGTGAAATGTCCCAAAGCCCAAAACTTCTGGGGTCTCAGGTTAGTGCTCTGTTTCAGATTTTAGAGAGTTTTGAGAATTAAAAACGCTAAACTTGTTCTAACAGTACTTAAAGACTGATCAGTTAGATCTTCATAGTGAAAAATTCTACTTAAGATTTAATTTTTGTCTTTACTGCTAGACAGTGTTAGATTGTTTAGTTGAATTCAAACACCTATAGTATTTAGATACCAAAAGATTATTCACCTCTGACAAAAATAAAAAAAATAAAAAAATACAAGGATACAAAGGAAAGATCATTTTGTATTTATATATACAAAATAGGATAAATTTACAGCTACTTTCGCTTAATTCAATGAGAAGAAAGAGGTGTACTAACATCGTCTGGACAGAATATTCTGTCTGCTTCTTGTACTATGGATACCACTAAGAAGATAACAATGTACAGTGTATTGACTATCAAAACTGTCCTATTAATCAGTTGTGAAACTCATTCATATTTCTCAATAAAAAAATAAAAAAAAATTTTTGTCTTTACATTCTCTCACTGGCAATGTTACACAGGGCAAAGAACATTTTTCTTCACTACTATATCCTCAATTTACAATGGTGAAACTTGCACATAATGTTTATTTTAAAAGTTTCCTAAAATTTCTTTGTAGAGAGTAATCCAGACACACTTCATATGAACGACAAATTAATATACGGGTTGTAAAAGAAACTAAGCATTACTTTACCTGGGTTAAGTGTATCACTGTCCAACATTCCTCCTTCACAAAAACTCTCCAGTTCCTCGGGCTTGACCTTGTCCCATGGAATATAAGTAACACCAAGTTCTACATCCCAATACTGTTTGTAATCTGCTTTTATTCCTTTGTTTAAGGCCCAGGCAATCTATTTCACCATGAGTGAGAACATAACATGAAAGGAAGGAAAAAGGCTGTTAGGTCTCAAGAGTTCACCATTCCTTATCATGGTACTCATCTTGATTTGGATAGCAAGAGTACAAAATCTGGACCAGCCATCCTTGGACCAGCCTTATTCTTGCCATGAAAATCGTTACCATACATTCTTTGTTTTAGGATGAAAATTTTGCTGGTATCTTTTATCACCCCCTACCCCACCTAAAATAAAATTTAGAGAAAAGGCACATATTGATCAGGGAGACTGAAGTTCTCTGTACAGCCCAACACACCAGACAGCATTTTTGAAAGCCTATTGCAAAACCATGATGTGCTGGTGTACACTTGTAATCCTAGCCCTTGGGAGGCTAAGGCCAAGGACTGCCACGAGTTTGAGGACAGTCTGGGCTACACAGTGAGTTCAAATTTAGCATAGAATATGCACAGTTAAAATCTCACTCAAAAAAAGTACAACACAACAGAACAAGGACAAAAGTCTATGGGAAAGGGGCCGGGGAGATGGCTCAGTGGAATAAGTGCTTCCCTGGCCAGTGCAAGGGCCTGAGTTCAATCCCCAGTTTCGCCAAAAAAAAAAAAAAAAAAAAGTCTATGGGAAACTAACAAATTATTTCATACCAGACAATGTCTTTTTGTGGTATAATTTAAGGGCAGGACAATATGTTAGGACAATTGAGGACATACTGACTTTGTTTCTTTAGAGGATGAATGCTAATATATACTACATCATTTTCCTCTATGGTTGGTGATGATTTTTCATAGCTTTATAGATGAAAACCTTTAACATGTAGAATAGCCAGAATTTTTGAATAAGAAAACATGAATCTAAATGTGGTGCTGTATGCCTAGAATCCCAGTCAAGGCAGAGAGATCACATTTTCAAACTTGGGCAACTTAGTGAGATCCTGTTTCAAAATAAAAAAGGCTGGGACTGTAGCTCAGGGCAAAGGCCTTGGCTCAAACCTCAGCATAGCAGGAAGAGAAGAGTGCAGAGAGACAGGCACCTGACATTTAAATTTTTGTGGTAATGCAACACTGTAGTTCTAGGTGGTAACCAGGAGGAAAACCAAGATACATATGAAATGCCTCAAGTCAAATCTAAGCCCAAAATTAGTTTTTTGTTTGGCTGAGACAGGGTCTTACTATGTAGCTCAGACTGGCTTTGAATTCATTATGTAGGGCCAAGGAGATGGCTCAGTAGAATAAGTGCTTGCCTGGCAAGCATAAGGGCTTGAGTTCAATCCCCAGTTCTGCCAAAAAACAACAACAAAACAAAACAAAACAAAACAAAACAAAACAAAACAACCAAACCAACGAGTGGGGCCGAATTCATTATGTAGTCCAGTCTGGCTTGAAACTAGCAACAATCAGCCTGCCTTGGGATTCCAACTGCTGGAATTATAGATGTGCACTATACCATGCCTGGCCCAAGTTAGTTTTTAAAAAGCCACATAATTTCATATTAAGATTTTGAAAAAAAAAAAAAAAAAAAAAAAAAAAAGAATTATGTAACTGTACCTTTATGGACTTCTGGTTCACTTTGTAGTTTCCTCGGCTCAGTTTCTGCAGGGCGCGATAAGCATCTTGCCTATGAACCATAACGATATAGGCACAACCCCTAGGAGGAATCATCTGGTCCAAAAACATTTAGCATTACAAAAGATGATAATAAAACAGCAATAATATTTATTATTTATTTATTTATTTAGTGTGTGTGTGTGGCCAGCTCAGCCCAACAGGGGGCGGGGCTGGCTGGCATGTGGTGCTGGGGGAATTGAACCGCGGTCCCTGTGCTTTGCCAAGCTTGTTCCAAGTAGGTGCTTTAGACCACTGAGCCATCTCGCCAGCCCAACAGCAATAATATCTAATAGTAAGTAAGCAATTTCAACAACTATTCCTTTTTGTATTTTTTTTAAGGAAGGGTCTACAGGGTGTTCAGGGTCTCACTACTATATCGGACTCAGTGATCCACCTGTTTACAGCCTCCCAAGAGCTGGGAGTACAGGCACGTGCCACCATACCCAGTCTCAATTGCCCTCTCAGCAGGCCCAGGGATCAAACCCTCGCCCCTGTGCCTGCTTGCAGGTGGTTTAATCCACTGAGCTATTTGGCTGGCCCAAGAATCCTATTCCTCACCCCCACACCAGTGATACATAATCTAGGGTTAAATTAATTTGTGGCACACTGGTCTCCACTGACTGTTTTAGATTTTGTTACATAAACTTTTTCCTAGGAAAAGATTTTAAGTTAAACTTGGCTGTGCACAAACTATTAAATGCAAAGAATGCTAAATATGGATGGAGGACTTACAGACTTGTAGCTACAAGGTGTGCAAACAGTATCTCAGACCTCAAGTCCTTAATTTCATAAAATAACATTATACATATCTGCCTTGTCATTAAATAAACAAACACTTACATTAATTGATTCAATGGGACCAAACTCTTCCAAGAGACTTGCAACATCCTGCTGAGTAGTCCTTTTGTCCAGCTGTCCCACCCAGAGAGTAGTACTACAAACTTAAAATAAAATTATAATCATCACAGTATTCATATCTCATAAATAGCACTGTATCTTACATCAAAAAATTCATTACATAAAACGTATGAATATATTACAAACAAAATCCTATATGATGTTTTTAGGTTTTAGAAAATTGTGTCAGTACTTTCACAAGTAGAACTGAAATAAAGGCACACATAAGAGTTGGAAAAAATTATTATGGCTTGTATCTTGGTGTTCCCCCAATGCCTCATGCAGTCACTGGGGCAGGCTTCTAGAGTTTGTCATTAATTCATGATCCAATGCAGGGGTTACGGATGATGGCTACACTACACTTGCCTTGGGGTGGGTAATCTGCATTACAAAATAAGCAGGGGAGATAGGCTGGCTAGCAACAGCACCTGCTGCTCCTCCCTTTGTTCTCTGCTGTTTTCCACCTCTATGAAAGGCTGCACTTTGCCATGTGCCACTCTGCCTTGGAGCCAAGCTGAGTATGGACTGAAACCTTCACTAACTGTGAGCTAAATAAACCTCTTCTTACTCAATTTTGGGTATTGGGTATTTTGTCCCAGCAGTGAGAGAAAAGTAACTGAGACACTGTTCTTTTTCTTGATAGACCGAAAGATATCTACTTAATCTGAAGGAAGAAAAGCAAAGACTCACTTGCCCAGTTACCTGCTAGAGAACAGAACTAAGACTTGAGCACAAGTCTCTCGACTACCAATTCTGTGCTTTGTTCACTACACGCAGCCATCATTTCCCAACTCCTGAGTGATAGTTTTTCTTTTATGCTATATCCTATAACATATACTATACAGCCAGAAATTTTACATATACCCTAGCTATTATTATGAATTGCAATCTGTGTAGGTTACTGATTTATTTTCTTAGCATACCTTACTAAACATATTTTAGATGTCTGATATAATTCAGGAGATAGTGCAAGCTAATACATTCTGGAAACGATCAAATGTCTATTTAAAAAGGGTACAAATTGTTCCAATACAACCAAACAACTCATCTTTCCACTGTATGTTGAACTAAATGAGGATATTATAATTTATAAACAAGGCATGAGAATGCAATATTTAGAATAGAACAACACAGTCGTAATGTTTCACTTAGGGCTCTGGTAACAGTTATCAAACATTTTAAATTTATGACCAAAAATAATGCAGGAAGTTTGAAGATAAAGTTTTATTTACCACTTGCAGTTTCTGGTTTGATTTGAGGAAGGCCTTTCTGTCGACGTTCCCTCTCTTTCTCTCGATCCCGTCTTTCTTGAGAACGAGATCGAGGAGAATGTCTGCGTCTATCTCTAGATCGAGATCGAGAACGTCGGTGACGAGACCTTCGTGATCTAGAACCAGATCTTGATCGTCTCCTCTTTGGTGACCTAATATTTTCATTACAAGGGAGAATGGACAGCACATACAGAAAAAAATAGAGAACAGGATAAATGCATTCAAAGCAAGGAGTATTTGGTATGGGGATAAATTGAATGTGTCTTATGCTATAATAAAACAATTTAAGTACTCAGTGTACATTTCTACTGCCCCTTGTGTTTCTAAGTAAGTGCTAGCCCAAGTCAAAGGTAACAAGATAAGATGACAGACCTTAGGCTTAAAAATATTTGGTGTATTTCTCTTGCTCCTTTCCCCACATACAGGCTTATAAATATACTGTTATTTTATTGACACTTAATACTTGAAAATATTCTAATCGGATTTTCATCTATATGTCGCCTAAGACATACAAAGCTGGGAAAATATTTTCTATAAATTACCTGGATGCTGACCTAGATCTTGACTTTCTGTTATCAGACATATGCCGCTTAACCTCTGGAATACAAGGTTGTTCCACTTCCATCTCCTTAAAAACAGAAACCAACATGATTGAGAAATGTGAGAATTATAAAGAAATTAAAATATAACAAAAACTAAAGAAAAAATCTATTACTCTGACGAAATTGTTTTTTGATTACCTGGGACCAAATTACTAGTTTATTTACTAAAGACTGACCATCACTGGAGAAAATAACAAGACAAAAAATTTACTAGATTAGAGGAAATGTTTCTGTAATCTGGAAATTACTTTGTATAAATTACCCTCCATCTTAATAAACTATCACCTAACACATTAAGTCTCCTATACTCCATCTCAATCTCAAACTCAATGGAGTTTGTTTCATTATGATGTCTACTTTCCAACTGAAACATTTACAGAGCACAGAGAGGGTTTAGTATGTGCCCAAGGTTTTCCTTCATAATAAGGCAGAAGTGTTTTTTTTTTTTTGCTCCGAATGCCTTCAAGGCATGACTGGCTGGCTTCTGTTGTGGGGATTGAACCACAGCAACCTGAGCCTGACTGCTTTGTTGAAGCAGTCATTTAAAGAACTGAGCTAAGGGGCAGGCCCCCTTCCTTCATAATAAGGAGTGAACACAGAAGTAAACAGCAAGAATCTCCACAGAAATCAGGGTAACCAAATGATAACGGACAATCTAAGAATCAAATCTTACCTGCTGATGTGGCTTCTGTGTAAGTGGTTCGGTCTGTGGCTGAAAAGAGGGCTGGAAAGTCTGCTGCATTGGTGGAGTTGGAGGAATCACAGGCTGAGCCATGGGAGGAAATGGAGGTGTGGGAAGAAGTCCAAAACCTGGCATCTGTCCATTAGGAGGAAGCGGAACCTTTCATTTTAAAGATAATATCTTTAAGTAATGGCTATCAAAAATAATTAACTTTATATAAAAGTAAAATATAGTCAATAAACCCTGATCAAGGAAAAGGTACAATAATATTAAACACTATTTAGCCATTTCTCCTGGTAGAGTCTTTTTCCACAGTATTGTTACACATTCAAGTCCTGTATATAGGTTAAAAATGATGATTTACTTCAAAAATGTTAAATACACTAATTTGATTATGTATTTAAGGACAGCTTTAAATAAGAAAGCAATATAGGAGACCAAATTTTAAGTAAAAAAAAAAAAAAAAACTCTCAGAAATTGTCTTTGAACTGTTAAAGAAAATTTACTAAGAGTAACCTGAATATATCGAACATTTTTAGTTTCAAATAAAATATTAAGTAATACTGAGAGGAAAGGACAAGAACATATTTCTGCACATAAAACACAAAACACTAGGACAATAAAACTTGTTATAACATTGCTAAACATCTTTTTAAGTTATAACTGTTGTGAATGTGCATTCAGTAACTGGAAATCCTTATGGGTTTTCTTCATATTGTAGGTTTGTAAAATATGTTCCATAGTTCATCAATGGGTCATTAAATCACTGTATCAATTTCATATTATCAAATATAAAGACTGGACTGAAAATACAGATTAAAAAATGAACATAGTATAAAAAAGTCTCAAAACTGTTTAATAGGCTATAAAACAGTATTTCTACAAGCAGGCTGCACACCAGAATCACTACACTGTAAAATTTAAAAAAGCAAAGCAAAACAAAATCAATTCTTTAGAATGACGATACCACTGAAGGGCCAGGCTGTTATTTTATTTTATTTATTTATGTGTGTGTGTGTGTGTGTGGGGGGCAGCTCAGCCCACCAGGGGGCGGGGCTGGCTGGCATGTGGTGCTGGGGATTGAACCGCGGTCCCTGTGCTTTGCTTAGCTTAGCTTGTTCTAAGTAGGTGCTTTATACCACTGAGCCATCTCACCAGCCCCAAGGCTGTTATTTTAAATGCCTGCCCTTCCCTCATAATTTAAGATGCAGTCTAGTTTTAAAAACCCAATTAAGAGGATTTACAGAGGACCGGGGAGATAGCTCAGTTGAATAAGCACTTGCCTGGCAAGTGCAAAGGCCTGAGTTCAATCCCTGGTTCTGGAAAAAAAAAAAAGTCCTAGCTGAGCTGCATAGTGAGACCCTGCACCAAATAAATAAATCAAGAGGATTTACAGAAACAAATCCAATGAACAAATAGTCCCAAACACTGGATTCAAAGTCCTTCAAAATATCTATATCATTCAACATACAGAAAAAAGGGCTCCAAGCAAAAGAAAAAGCTGAATAAGCGAGGCTCTTTATATAGAACTGTAATCTGTAATTCTAAACTGTAGATTCTCTGAACTATTTTAACTAAAATATTTATTATACAATATAATATGAGCATCTTATGTTTAGCAACCTTGTTTCAATTCAACAGCTTTTATCCAAACTGGAGTTCTACCTTGCCCACCACACAACTAAGTAACAGTAATCTGTAAAGTGCAAACCAATATAAAGGAATAGAATTGGAGATACTACAATTCTACTTTGAGAAAAATGGCTATACCTGGTGGTGCATGGGATCTTGTATTCCCATCATTCGAGGCTGAAACTGATCCATATTTTGATGCTGTGTGTATGGTGGCTGCTGCATGCCATCTCCAGGAAACCCACTGAAAGAATCCAGAGTAAGATTCTTAGCCACATTTACAAGAACAGTGTTGTGCAGAAGTCATTAATAAACTTGTTACTAAATCATGTTTACTGATCTATTAATCTATACATAATTATTTCCAATATAAAAGCCATTTTTTTATTTTAAATCTGACAAGATAGCCTCTGTTTAGAAGAAAACCTTAACACAATTTTACAATAACTCAATTGTAAACTATTTTTATTGCTAAGTAACAGTTACACTACAACTACTACCAACTTTTGTATCAAGAAATTAAAAAGCCACTCACAACGGTGTCTGTGGAGGAGGAGGAGAGACAGCAGCGGGTGCAGCTGGCGCAGTGGCAGCAGTGGGAGCAGGCGTGGCCACAGCAGGCACAGGAGGTGCTGTTGCAGCAGCAGCAGCAGCAGCAGCAGCAGCAGCAGCAGCAGCAGCAGCAGCAGCAACAGGTGCTGCAGGGAGAATTGTAGCAGCATCTTCTTTTTTCGATTCTTCCACAGCTTCTGGCTCATCATCATAATCAAATCTATCAAGCAGCTTCTGGAATAGGTATGACAACATTCCATTTTAAAATGCAGCATGTGATTAAAAAAATAGGAAACTTAACAGAAATGACAGGTATTTACCTTCACGCATAACCACACTGTGCTGTTGTACACAGTTGCATTTCCCTACATGAAGGTCTTAGTTCAAAGGCATTACTAATTTCTACACAAATGTCATTTTGGGAAAGACAATTTATTGATTTTCTTCCCCAATAATAAATTCAATGGTTTCTTTTTGATAACTTTTTATCTGCTTATTCAGTAATTAATTTGGCAGTATACATAGTTTTCTAAAACATTTACTTAGACTAAAAATTTGAGACTTTGTGCACATGAAAATGAGTGTACAGTTTCAGTCAGCTGTAAAACAAGACTGTCTTACATAATTACTATAAATGCATACATATAGAAAAATGTTCATATGCTTGCCCAGTATACTAATATAAAAAAACATGGCACACAAGATAGGGGCACAAGGGGCTGAGGAGATAGCTCAGTGGTATAAATGCCTGCCTAGCAAGCAAAAGGTCCTGAGTTCAATCCCCCCACCCAAAAAAAAGATAGGGCACAAAGAAATGTCACCACATGCTTGCTAGGTTATTTCTTAAAATTTTATAGCATACATCAAATTACTAGCAATTTTCATTAAAGAAATACACTGACTTTCTTGTAATTTGGTACCACTGATACATTATACTTGCAAAAGAACATCTCTTCCACAGTGCTTCAGACCTTCACTGCTTTTAGAGAATTCTGATGTTTTTAGGTCTTTTTTTTTTTTTGGTTCTGCGGATTGAACTCAAGACCTTGCGCTTGCCTGACAGATACTTATGCCACTGAGCTATATCCCCAACACTGAGAATTCTGATGTTTTTATTACTTCTATTATTTTAATGATTTAGTAAAGTGACTAAACCCAGTACAGACTTTTGGATATATATGTGTCAAGTTTTTATCAAACACTATTTGTGAGTGGAATGCCTTATAATATTAGTGTTAATTTAATTTATAAAGGGAGATTAAAAAGTTCAAATAATTACACTAAAAGAAAAGTATACTTTGTTAAGTCCTATTGTCTAGACTAACAAAGCTAGGCACAGTGGTGCATGCCTATATTCCCAGCATCAAGGAAGGTTGAGGCAGAAGGTCTGAAAGTTCAAGTTCCACATGGGCAACTTAGTGAGACCCTGTCTCCAAAAGGTGGTGGCGATATAGCTCAACGGTAGAGCACCCCTGGGTTTAAGTCCCAGTACTGGAGTTGGGGAGGGTAGAAAAATAAGAATTCTTTAGAAAACATGGTAACATATTGAACATATACTCTGTCTCCATAGGTAACAAAATACTTTATTATTGCAAGAACCCTGCAATGTAGATCTAGTTTTTCTTCTTATAGACAGGGAAATTAACACTAGGTGATTAAGAAATAAAACTTAATTGTGCAATCAGTAAATAACAAGATCAGAACCAGGGTGTGCATACTGATCTTACTATATTTCAAAGTCTTCTGTATTTGGCCTTCAAAAAGCAAACTTTGAAAGCAAATCCATTCTACTCATGGATTTTAACCTCCTAAACTGCTGCTGCTGCTCTATGGCAGTTCTGCCTAGATATTCTGGTTCCACTTTACTGAACAACAGATTTCTAAATTAGGAAGGGAAGGTGCCTCTTTATTAAATAAAGCATTAAGAGCAAACCAACTGTAGAGTTATTCTTGAACAGAGAGAACTAATATGCTTTCCCTTTAACACTAGGCTAGGCAATTTAAGTTCTTATAAATCAGCAATTAATATTTTCCAAATACAAACACAGTCTAGGCATCTACCATATATTAATTTATTTAAACCTCCATGGTAGTGGTATGATAGTTACTACCATTATTTTACAGTGATGAACCCTGAACATTTAAGTAATTTAACAACAGGATAGTCACTCAGTAACAGGAGCCAAAATTAAAACTTTAAGGTTTTCTTTTTCTATAAATCAGATAGGGTCTTTAATGTTTTGTGATCTATACCTATTGCTTTGGAAAAAGACGAAGTGATTAAAAACTGAGTCTATAAAAAATAAATTTTCAGTGTTTTTGAGGAAACTACTTGTATGAAGAAGCTGAAATACATGAGCTAGTAAACTAGTTACTAGCTTAAAATAAAATTTTAAAACTTTCTCTTCATTTTTAAAATTATCGTTTTACATTAATTTTACTAAGAAAGAAATAGCAATGAGTTTCAAAACAGGTTAGTAGGACAGTTACAATAATTAATACATTGGATATTGTTGTCTTTGTACTATTTATTCATAGTTCAAGATGCAGAGATGATATCTTGTGTAAACACTATTAATTCAAAACTTCCTTCTCATTGAACTAAGAGAAAGCAGCTGTATATCTATGCTAACTATTTTGTGTGTGTGTGTGTATATATATATATATATATATATAATTTTTACATATAATTTTATATATAATTTTTTTACTACAAAATGGCCCTTCATTTAAATAGAACTTTTTAGCCAAATAAAAAAAAGCACAAATTCCTTTTGCAATCTATTACTATGACCATTCACAAGGCAAAATAAAAGCTTTTTCTTGTGAACTCTGAAGCAAATGCAAAGGACTACAAAACATGACCAAATAATAGAAAGGAAAAAATATATAAGACCACCCATATAAAGAAAATTATAAAGTTTTGGTAGAGAGTCTATAAGTTTTTAGAACTCCTCCAGTTAACTCATAAATTCAAAGACGTGAAAACATGTGAAAGTACACTTACACAAATATACTGTGATAGTCGATTTTATGCATTAACTTGGTTAGGTTATACAGTGATGAGTTGTTAGGTCAAACTCTAATCTAGATGTTACTGTGAAAGATTTTTTTTTTAGATGAAATGATTTAAACCAGTAGACACTGAGTAACGCTGATATTCTTGCTAACGAGAGGACCTCAAATAATCTCATGAATAAGTGAAGATCTTATGAACAAGAACTCAAGTGTCCTTAGGAAGTTCTTCTCAAGACTATAACACAGAAACACTGCCTAAGTTTCCAGTTTGCTTCCCCGTGGAATGTACACTCAGGACTACAATATTAATTCCTACCTGGATTTCCAGACTGCTGACCTGATCAACCAATTTCAACTTTGCTGGTCCCCCAACTGTACCATCAACCAACTTTCATCCATCAATCCACTGATAAATCATTGAGTCTGTGTTTCTCAGAACCACCACCACACAGATAATCATGAATAACCAAAGCAAGTCTGAAATTAAGTCTTCTTCTCTTAAGGAGAACATGTGGCAATAAAATACAGTGTGTATGTGCTGCGAGTATAGCTCAGTGACAGGGTGCTTTCCTAGCATGTACAAGGCCCTGGGTTCTATTCTCAGCACTATGAAACACACACACACACACACACACACACACACACACACACACGTTATTTCAACTGTTATGATGCAGAAATAAGTGCATTAGTCTGACAGAAAAAAAAAAGTGTTACAGGAGAACAAGGTACAGGTTCTTTTCAAACCTATAAAGACAACTATATTGAAGCACTTACATTTCAGAAGGACTGAAAAACAAACATAAAAACAAAATATAGAACTACTAGTAGAGTGCATAGAATTCTTTTAAGTCAAACACAGAACAGATTCAAATAAAACTATCCACATTAAAATGTTCACTTGGGGGTTGGGGAGATGGCTCAGTAGAATAAAAGCTTGCCTGGCAAGCACAAGGGCCTGAGTTCAATCCCCGGTTCCACAAAAAAAAAAAAAAAAAAAAAAAAATTCACTTGTTCTCAGAAACAGGCATAGAACATAAACAAATCTGATCAAAGTAGTGTGAAAAGTATTTCCCACTTTTTCTTTCTTACGTCTTGTATTATTTTCTTTTTCCATACAAGCATGTATTCCTATTTTACTCAAAATTTTAACTAACAGTTGGGCATAGTAATGTCGTTCTATAATCCTAGCTACACAGGAGGTGGAGGCAGGACTGAGTTTGAGGACAGCTTACACAATATAGCCAAGATCCTGCCTCAAAATAAAAAAGGGTTGGGAATGTAGCTTAGTGTTCTCTGCTATATATATGTATGTGTGTGTGTGTGTGTGTGTGTGTGTGTGTGTATATACATATATTTAAAAAAATAAAAAATCCAACCTTTTCATCAGTAGTTAATCATAAATCATTAAGCTATAATGAAAACCAGTATTTACGATATGATTTTAATTTGAATTACTAGCAATAAAGTTCTTACATTACTATTACCTTTTTGAGACAGGGTCTCATTATGCAGCTCAGGCTGGCTTTGAACTCACTTTGTGGCCCAGCCTGGCCTCGAATTCACAAGGAATCCTACTGCTTCAGCCTCACAAGTGCTAGGATTATAAGCATGTGCCACCATCCCCAGTTCTTACAAGTAAAATGTTGGTAAGAAGCATGAATTTTAGAGATGATGATACCAAAGTTGTCATTTAGTTTTATGATCCACAGGCTTTATTTTTTGAAATGAAACTTGAGAAATGAAACTTGATACAGCCATAAACTGAATTTAAAAAAACAGACCCAAGTGGAGCTGTGAGAGTTAAGATCCCATAGAAAACTAAGCTTTATCTCTAGCATGCCATACCCTTTGTGGCAGCTACTTAAACATGCCCTCAAACCTTAATGCCCAGCAAAGCCACTCATATACAATGAACCAAAACAAATCCTCACATTATAGATAGGGTAACAACAGTTTCTCATAGCAAAAAATGGAAAGTATCTTGTTAGTAGGAGAAAGTCTAAAACACAATATACTCATGTAATGGAGTATAACATAAGCATTTAATAAAACAGATCTTAATCCATTAACAGCAACAAGAACAACCACAAAACAAGAATACTACCATCAAAACATGCAGATGAATATTACATCAAAGAAAAACATCTCTAAGCAATTAATTCTAAAAAGATATATCCCAAAGTGTCACAGTAATAGTCACAGATGGGAATTAATTGGAAATTTTCTTCATTTTCCTTTGCTATAGTAAATCTCTGCAATGAGCACAAACATTTTTAAAAATAATCAATGTTTTGGTACAAAAGAAGATCCTCAAGCCACAAACAGCAAACATTCCACAGAGAAGCACAGAAGGGAACTTGAACAAGCCAAGTGGAGTGATAGAGACAATGAGGTGGGTGATGTGAGAGAAGCGTACCTTGTCAAATGCTGTTTTTTGTTCAGGTGGGGGGAAAGCAGCTTTTTGCTCAGGTGGTTGTGTAGGAGCTGTCTTTAACTGAGCTGTGATAGCCTGAACCTGAGCCATCACAGCATTGTCAAGGGCGGGAGACTGTGGTTTTGGAGGTTGCTGAAAAGTCTGAAGGATCTGCTGAAGCTTAAAGAATGGGAAAACTGATAAACCACAACAAAATAACCATAGTATCAAAACTAATCTACTGAAAAAAACTTTAAAGGTGACCAAAAATAGCATAGGCATTATGAAAACTGGAAAACAAAAATCACCCTTTTACCAATAGGTTAAGTTTGTGAATATCAGGTACAGGATGTATTACTTAAAGTTAATAATGTATGCCAACAATACCCAAAATACAAAATGATGGTCCAAGACAAAATACATTGAATGTGAACAAAGTAAGTTTTCTTGAAATACGAAAGCATTAATTCCAATCCAAGTAGGTTTATAATCAATCACAAATGCTAGAATTGTAAACAGCACTAGGCCCTTGGCAGTTCTAAAATTCTCTTCACACAGGCATGGTTGTTCCCTTATTTCAGCTCAGATTTTCTTTATTATCTTTGTCACTTCTTTCCCACTGAAAGTTTTCTAGTTGAAAAGTAAAATACTTTCTCCCTTCAATGGGCTTATGAGTAAGAATGTAAAATAAGAACAACCAACAGTGCCTAACCCTGCAAACAATTCAATCCTTGAGTAAGTAGCATACCTGCTGGCCTTGAGTTGTCTGAAACAGCTGAGCCACAGCAGCAAAAGCATCAGAGCTGGGCAACTGTGGTACAGTAGGTATGGAGTTTGGTGTGGCTTGTGGAGGTTCAGAAGAAATTTTTACTGGAGGAGGAGGTGAGCCTTAAGAAGAAAATGGCATTAATTAAGGCCTATCAAAATGTTAACATATATGTGTCTTTTGTAAAAAGCCCTTTAAGGGCCGGTGAGATAGCTCAGTGGACTAAGCACCTGCTTTGGTAAGTGCCGGGTCCAGGGTTTGATCCCAGGTCCCGCATGCCACCACAGCCCCACCCCCTGGCATGCTGAGCTGGCAAACAAGTCCCAGAGTGGTGGCACATGCCTGTAATGCATGCATGCCAGCACTGCTGAGGCTGAAAACAACATCACTATGAGTCTGAGCTGCGTAGTAAGACACTGTACCACATACATAAGAGCAAAATAAATAAATATCCTCTAAGCTTCTTTGCTAAAATAGTATTTCACCCAGTTCATATACATTGTAGTTACTAGTGTTTCTATCATAAGTTATTGAAAGGTCAGATTTATACTAAAAAATAAGAATTACAAAAGAAAAACTGTTCTGTCCCAGATGTAAACTCAAGTTTGCACTAAAATACACAAATGCACAACCCTTCATGTATAAAATTTTTACCATTATCTAAGCTTACTGATAGACTTGGCTGTACCTTCATTATTGGTGACATTTTCCGCTAATGGGGCGGCATTACTGGTTCCTGCTGCCATGTCCAAAAGAGGTTGAATAATTTCAATTTTGAACACTCCATTTTTTTGCCAAAGGTTCAGCACACGAACTATTTTACTCTGTTACATTAAAAAAAAAACAACAACAAATAAACCAGTCAATAAGTGTGTTTGTAATTTATAACATTCCTTATTTTATAAAGAGATAACCCTGCTAATGTTTTTCTATTAAGTCTTTCAAAAACAATTACATCAGAATTATAATCTAGTCAAGCTATTTTAATTAGTCTACTTTGATGGGTATAATTTGGACTAAGACAAGACAGAATATCGACTCAGGGAACAAAAACATGTATTAGCTGGTACTTTCAGTACATTTTATTTACGGTTCCAAAAGTACTCTATCATGGACAAAAGTGAAAGAGGGCTGGGGAGATGGCTCAGTAGAATAAGTGCTTCCCTGGCAAGGGAACTCATATCTTTCTGAGTTCAATTCCCAGTTCCGTCCCCCTCCTCCCCCCAAAAAAAGAAAAAAAAAAAAAAGATGTAAAAGAAAACAAATTTATTTGGGATGATAACAGTTAAAATATTTAGGAAAAAGGCCTCTAATTGAGAAGTTGTTTTATGATGAAATAAATCTGAAGGCGATCCAGGGAACATGTGCTATTCATGAGTACAATTTTTAGCTACTACTCAAAAGAATTAATTATACTTTTCTTCCATAAGAGCAATCCTTTTAAGAATATAAGCAGAGAATCTATGTAACAGTGAAATTTATAAGCCATTTATAGTAAATGTTTCCATTGTTTATTACTATGTACACTAGTGTAATTGTTCCACCTAAAATCCACCTACTATATCTGCAATATTCTTCCACCTTCTACATTAATTATAAAATTAGCTATGTATGTAAAGAACTGAACAGTATAGCCACGGTGGCAAACATTCTGGAGCTTTCAATGATACAGAGAGTCCACTATGGCATGTGTGCCATAGGTCCACCACCACTGCTCTACAGTCTACTTGTTAATACCATTTACACTGTAGCATTGTTACATGTTGAGGAAGACCATTAATTAGCAGTCCTTTCCTTCTAGAATAAGCAGCAATCTGAGACGAGCACTGTTTTTCTCTACTACAAAATTTCTTCATTACTCAAAAACAGAAACATATCTTCCCACCATATTTTCTTTAAAGATTTTTAACATATTTAAGCTTTTTAAAAAAAGCATAAGAACACTTATTAAATAAGATTCACCTTCTTCATAAATTTTTTAGGTATACAATCCAGGATTATGTTTTCAGTATATCTCTAGAACTTAATTCATCTTGCTTAGTTATAACTTTAGATCTGTTGATTCCAATTCCCCATTTCCCTCTCTCCCTAATAACCACTATTCTACTGAGTCTCAAATTTCATTCCTCTCACAGTACATTCTTGAACAATTTTATGAGAAAACAAGTATGACATGACCACTGCAGAGAAAACTGGGTTTTATAGCAAACTCCCAGAGGTTACGCTACATGGCTATCTTATCTAGTAATACAGCAGGCTGTGTGTGTGTCTAATAAGCATTTAAATAAATGTAAAGATAAAACCAAAAGCAACATAACATAAATTCTTAATTTAAAAATTAACACCTTATCTTCAGATGGACAAAGATACAAATACTGGAATGTGGCGGTTATGTTTTTAGAGAATCTTGGCCCAAAAACATCTTTATCAGTTCCAAACTGATGACGAGACTGTCGCACAATTGAGTCAATTACATATAATCCTGGAACCTTGTATTCTGGTTTACACTGCAAGGATAGATATATAAAGTCAATACAAGACAGGCAAAATCACAATTTTTTATCTACTATTTTTCTACTTACATAACTTTTATGTACACCCAGTGACCGTTTACAAACTACCCAGATTTCCTCTAACTTGTCAACTTTCCCACAAATGTACAGAGAAACACCACACAATGATATTTTAGATGCCTGAGTGTTTATTTTCTCTGATCCCTCTGTCTCCCCTGCAACAATTACTCAGAAGTGATATCATCAATCCCTCCCTATACCATCATCATACAAATTCATTTACGATAGTCTCTACTCTGGCTCAACATTTTTTACCTTTCAAAATTATTTTTTAAGAATGTTAATGTATCAATTTCAATGATGCTGAAATTTAACTGTGACCCTCTGGGTGTTGACAAAGATAAATAGAAAAGCAGGCACCTGAATATATTCTGGTTGTACTAGAAAAAGGTATAACCCTTTCTTTTGTGTTTATCTTGTTGGTAGTCCATGTTTGTGATATATAGTAAATATCACCAGTGCGGGGGTTGGTACCTATACATATCACATCTTAATCTTTTCTTTCTCTTCCTTTCTATCCCACCCCTCCAACTCTCTTCCAGCTAGAAATGATTTAGTAATAAAAGTAAAGTCTTATTTGTCCCAACAACTCTACATCCAGGAGCTGATCCTACACAGAACAGCAGAGGCACTGATTTTTTTTTTTTTCTTTTCTATAAAGTTAGCTCTCAAAGCAATTCCTCTATAAAGCACAAATTTCTAACCACGCAGCTAAAAGGAACTGGCTGAGTAAATCATGGTGAAAATCTTATTTTTTGGTAGTATGGGGAATTGAACCCAGGGTCTTTGTGCTGAGCTATGTGCCCAGTACATGTTTAAATTTTGAGATGGGGTATCACTGAGTTTCCCTGTCTGGGCTCCCACTTGTGATCCTCCTGCCTAGGCCTCTCAGAGTACTGGGATAACAGTAATGCACCATCATGCCTGGTACTTGACACAGTATGTATTGGTATGTACTACATGGCACAGCTCTAAGTCAGAGGATAAGACAAAAGTATGAGATTATCTTTCCAGTCTTCTACTGATAGACACGTCTAATCAAGTTAGATGATAACAACTATAGCACTAAAAATTTGTTCAATTCTAATGGGAATAGAGAAACATTGGGAAATTTTTTTTTTAAAAGTAATTTCATTTGCAGTACTCAAAGCAAGTTAAAATATCAATAGAGTAGATGAAGGAAAGGACAGAGAAAGCCCATGAGGCTCACAGAAAGGTTCTAGCTCAGAGACAACTGTTGTGATGCATGGCATTAGTATTAGTAGTACAGTATCAAACTCACAGTAAGTGCTCAATCAATGGTACTATTAGACTGCTTTTTTCTTAGAGTAGCTTTGGAAGCACACACCAATTTTATAAATACAAATATGCATCAAATAAAATAAGGTAATAATAAAACAGTTACCTTTTTGATGAATTTTTCTACTATTTGAACTACATGCTTATAAAGCTGAAAAGAATTAAAACAAAATTACTAAAAATTTACATAATTATATAATTATATATTTCCTATAACTAGAAGTTTTAAAACTTTGATGTTTTCTGAGTTTAAAGAATTAAGGTGATACTCAATGAACCATAAATAATCCAAAATGACCAATAAGAAAAAAAAAAAATCTAAATAACATATCAGATTCTGCCCCCGATAAAGGTCTCTTTTCTTAAATGTTTAAACAATGAACCTTTATAAAGTAGGATATCTGGCAAACTTACAAAAGGACAAGGGCAATGGAGTTAAGAATTGAGCAATGTAGTTTATAAAATGATAAAACGTTAATCCTGGGTAAGACAATTTCATGGAGCCTGAGGGGTTTTCTTAAATTTTTGTAATAGAAGGGAAGCTAATTGTTTATAATAATGATTAAATAAAATTTCTTTGAAACAGTATGTTACACTACAAATAAATACACAGTATTAGAAACCTTAAGCAAAAGCTGATTAACTGTGCTCTTTGATTCAGGCCTGAAACTCAAAAAAAAAAACGAAATCTCACTAACATTTTCAATGCATTAAAAATATTTGTTTTATTCTTACCTTAATAGCTTTAATAGCAGCTTTAGTGATGAGAATCATCTTGGCTCTAGAGATGGGAGGTTTCATATCCATAAGTGAAAAGAGCTTAAAAGAAAAAGAAGTTAAAAGGTAAATTCAGAGGTCAACTTCCTTGTTCTACAAAGGTATGTGCAATCTATTTACTAAGAGAAAAACTTTAAGAACTAAAAGTCTTATCAATTTGGCTAGTAAGTAAAAATCATGAACTTCCCAATCTATCTGTATCACCACTTACAAAATGCAACAAAGATCATTTTTTTTTTTTATTTATTAGAGAGAGAGAGAGAGAGAGGGGGGTGTGTGTGTGTGGCCAGCTCAGCCCACCAGGGGGCGGGCTGGCTGGCATGTGGTGCTGGGGGATTGAACCGTGGTCCCTGTGCTTTGCTGAACTTGTTCTAAATAGGTGCTTTAGACCACTGAGCCATCTCTCCAGCCCCAAAGATCATTTTTAAAATAAAATATAAAACTGGAGGCAAAAGCTCTTAAGAAATTGGTAAAATCTGTAACAAAAAATTGTAAAACTTGGTGAAAGAGACAAAACATGATTTCAATGAAAACAACACATACCATGGTCCTAGACTAAAAATGACAACAGTGTGTGACTGTCAATGTTTAATATATTTTCAAACCAAATGTGACATTTTGGAGAATTCCAAATAATTCTAAGGCTCATTTAGAGATCCATGTAAAATCAAGCAAGAAATTTAAAATGCTATTATAAAGTTCCAATAATGTGATACCAATGTAAGTTTATGGTTTCTTCATTTGGTTACATATAAAACTACAGATTATAAGGTCCCCACCAAATTAACAAATCTCTCAGCAGGAACTGGGCTCACTAGGCATTTAATAGTCCTTCCCCCAAATCTGAACAAGACACAGTGTGCAAGGACAGTTATAAAGATAGGATCTTGACATCACGAAGCTTCTATCTAGTTTGTTTTTCTTTAGTTTACTCACAAATATGTTCTCCTCTGGGACTTCTAAAAATATTCTGAATGGTATTTCACGTATTGCTGAGCAATTATAAATCTTTCATGTATCCCATTCCCATTTCTTTCCAGTTAATGTAGTATTTCATGCATAAACCCCTTCAACTATTGCTAGACACTACTAAGCACCTACCCTAAATGGCTTGTTTCCCAGAGTAAATAGCCCTATTTGACAGCATGTTCCAAAATTCACAAGTTGCACAGCTTTTCCAAACTACAGACACAATGGGATGACAGATATCATTAACAATAATTTTAGAAAAGGTATAGAATGACAGATATATCCAATAAGCACAGCCATAGAGGCACTTAAGATATTTTACAGAGGAGTTCCTTTTTGAAGATGTTTATATAAGGTGATTATTTTATTTACCAAGAATAAAAAATTTTCCTTGAGAATAGATGCAATGAAAAACAATTATAAAATAAATAATAATCTTTGAAACTAAATAGCCAGGGCGGTGGCACATGCCTGTAGTTCCAGTACTTGGGGAGGCTGAGGCTGGAGGATCTCTGTGAATTTGAGGCCAGCCCGGGCTGTGTAGTCAGTTCAAGGCCAGTCTGACTACATAGAAGACCTTGTTGCCCCCTCCCCCCCCAAGCAAACACCACCACCCCAAACCAACTAAAGAACTCATTGAGGAGCTAAAAGACAAAAAGTTAAATGTTTTGATTTGAACACAAATAACACTATATAATTCATAAATTATACAACATACATTTATAAAAGGTATATTCTAACTATATGTTAAGAATTTAGGCAGTTGCTTTTTTATTTTCTTTCCTTCTTTGTACCTTAAAACAGAGAAAGAAAATGCAAAAGTTGTTACTACATGGGGCCGGGGAGATGGCTCAGTGGAATACGTGCTTGCCTGGCAAGCGCAAGGACCTGAGTTCAATCCCTGGTTCCACCAAAAAAAAAAAAAAAAAAAAAAAAGTTGTTACGACAGAGATCTCTACATGTACCACAGTAAGGGCTCTTCTGGTCATCAAAGGCTTGGAAGAATATGTTAATGAAGCCCAACCCAGAGCTAATATTTATCTAATGTCCCAAATGGCATTTCTTTACCACTTTAGCAGTAAGCAACTTCTTGTATTTAAAAAAGCACATGATGGACAGATACAGCTTCTGAAGGAAAACTCCAGTCTGTATTCCAATTATCCTAACTTACAAAGTAAAGCTGACTGCACCTTTCAGCAACATAACATTCATTCAAATAAAAGACCAAGTCACAAAGGAAAGACGGGAAAAGAGGGAACAAACATTAGATAACACAAGTCAAGCAGTAATGAGTTAGCTGGTACACTGCATGTATTATTAAACCATTTTAACTAAAGCAGATTTTTTATACCTGTTTTGAGATGATACTAGAAAGATTAGATCTCTTTTACATGATGCCTGGGAAATGGATCTGAATTTAAAATTGCTGATTCTAAAGCTCATATTCCATAACAGCACTCAATCCCTTATTAAAGACTTCTTACTATGTGCAGAGACCCACCCACTCCTGCCTGATAAACATTTACACTGAGCCTGATAATCTGGACAGAAGTTCTAACAGCCTCTACGGCGAGGCAGATATAATTCCATTTTACAGATAAGTGCAATAAGGGTCAAGAATTTACCCAAAGTCATAAAGCCGAGTGGCAGAATTCAATCTGTAATCTATCATTTTTCAAACAAGTTATTCTAGGAAATGTCTAAGAATAAGAAAGTTATTTTTTAAAAAATTTGCACAAAATAGTACACAAACATTAAATAAAAACTAAGCAGCTAATTTAGACCTAAACTAGAAGGTAATATACTAAAACATAATTGTCATACGAGATTAGATCCAGCGATTTTTCTTTTTCCTTTTTTGGCATTGAAACTGAAACTCTGGCATGCTACCACTGAACTACACCTCTAGCCTTTTGTATGTTATGACAGACTTCCAGTAAGATGCCCAGGCTGGCCTTGAACATGTAATCCTTGTTCTCAGCCTCTCGACTATTTGGGACTATAGGCATGTGCCACCCGACCTGACTTAACAATTTAATAATAACAAAAACAGACATTTAGAAATAAAGTGACACTATATACCCAAGCAACAAATTCAAGGCAATATAAATTACTAAATACTTAATGTCAAATTTTGAGTCCATAAAAAAATTGGGTGATGGTGGTGGTTGTGCTTAAATGGTCCTATGATCTGATAATAAATGTGATCATCAGGGAAAAACCTGTCACCACAGTTAGTGTAGATGTTCAGAATAGAAGGTCACAAAAGTTTCTTAAGGCTAGCATACTGTTTTTGTTTCAGATCTCAATTTTTATCTTCGGATATAAAGGAGAGTTTTAAATAGTCTTCTGAATGTGAAATTTAAATTTCCAAATAATGACCCACCCACATATTCCAGGGAAGATTGTACCCTCTAATTCAACTAGTTTTGAGTTGGATCCTTAGGTCTTTAAAATAAATTTCCTGTTGCTACTCTTATGAACTGTTAAAACAGGTTACAAATAAAAAGCATCTAATCAATGCTTAGTAAAGCTCACTTTTCTATTCCTGGTCTTTACCCATTCTCCCTCATATATACCAACCTCCCTTTTTGTTTGCCTTAATACTCAATTTTCAATGTTTTGTTTGTGTGTAGTTTACTTTTCCTCATTCTAAAAGCAGAATGAATTTGCTAGTTGCGAATGCCTTATGTTCTTCTTACCTGTATCTACAGTAAAGCTACAATCTAATAATATTAAATAAAAAGGATTAACTAATATCATTAACACTGGCTGAGAAATCTGTCATAAGTATAGAATCCAATCTTGTGATGCAAGATTTTCATTGTAGGTACTGAATTTTTGTGGAGTCATGGTCAGAACACCAGCCCAACAATCAGCTGCCCGGGAAATCTTGGGCCTACCACTTGATAGTCATGAGCACTGTATCTTTATAACATGGGAATATTTTCAATACAATCAATCCTACAAATGGACTTAGTGTAGCACCTACGACATGGGTACATAATAGCTGTTAACTATTACCACTGTACAAATTTCTGACCAACATTGAAATTTCAGCTAATAAACCTGAAGAGGGGAAAAAAGCTATCAGCTTCTATGTCATGCCTGAAAACCTGTAACAACATAAAAACACTTGAGTTCTATTCTTACAACTAGGTCACTAAATGAGTTTGTTGCCAAATGAGGAATTTGTGTATATTAGTATGTACAACATTCAGAAAGAAATTGTCAAAACTCTAATTGGATGACTTTGTCGTTATTTACATAATTTACTACGTGTAACATAAAACTACAGTACTACACAGAACAATCAGCAAAAATTATAGTACTGTATAAATAAAGTATACTATATAAAAGACACCAAGGCTCTAGGAATAAGATGTATAGAACTGTACAAAAAAGGGGGGCAGAAAGATAGCTCAGGGGACTAAAGCACCTGCTTAGGCAAGCGCATGGACCGCAGCTTGATCACTACATGCCATGCCAGCTCTGCTCCCAGGGCAGGCTGAAATGCCCAGAGTCCAGGCCAGTGTAGTGGCACACACCTGTAATCCCAGCACTGGGGAGGCTGAAAGCAGAAGGATCACCATCAGTCTGAGCTGCATAGTGAGACCTTGCAACAACCATTAAAAAAAAAAAAAAAAAAGATGGGTCTTAAGTGCAAATGACAGGTGTTAAGTTCAAACAGCATGCCCCCGTCCTAAATCTGAATATTTGTGAAACAGGCTGTTAAACAAGGAATATCTGTATTAGGTAGCTTATCAAAATACTTCAATGAAGGTGATTTGTTTTTAAGAACACATGCTCTCCAATAACCTTTAAAATAAAATACAACAGCCATCAACAAATCATATCAGCTATGGTCCCTTGCATGTTAGAAAAGGCAGGAATATTAATCCCCAGTACCACAAAAAGAAAGAGAGAGAGAGAGAGAGAGAGAATGAACAGATGGTCGGGAATTAAAAATTATTCAGAAAATCAGGGTATCATCATCTCACATAACAATGATATAGAAAGCATTCATCAATAATTATGATAGCAAAACAGATGCAATCCAGATATGAGCTTTA